CATTGATGCTGAACCATTCAAAAATAGAAGTTTCAAAGAAATTTGATTTGACTAAACGCCATATAAAGTATTTCCATTTATATACCTAAACTTGATTATTCTAATCCAAGAGTATTCTATGATCCTGAACTTGAGGCACATTTAACAACCGAACCTTTTAAGAATGTGAAGGACTTGACCTAAATGAAAAACGAACAAGAAAACAACATCTATAACTAATCCCTAATGACTGACCAGATCTAACTCGTCATTTACCAGAACTTAGCCCCTGTTTGAGCCACATTATTTTCAAAAAAATACATTTTTCAACAGTGATTTGACATCATTTCAACCACACATTCTTCAATAAAATAATATTATACACAAATCTAAAACTTTTCCTTATTTTTAACCACACATTTTCCATTGATTTGACATCAATAATGCATTTTTTCCCTATAATGTGGCTCAAACAAGCCCTTAATATGTTTCTCTGGCGTACATTTCCTTACAGAAACCAAACAACTTTCATCCATCAGGTGAATAGCCTCAATTTAAAATGCTCAATCTCTACATAGTGTAAGTACTAAGAGGAAATCCATTTTTCCAGGGAAGTGGAAACCTGATATGAAATTTTTATTTATTTAGTTGAGCTTTTTATTCTTTATAGTCTAAGAAATTTTAGTTGAAACTCTAATGAAGTTTTAAATTTATATTTTGGATTGAATAATAATACTACAAAGTGGACCAAGAGAAACCATGTTATCTCAAAATCAAACTTAAAATACCTGGACTAACTGCCTGTCTAGTAAACAAATGACATATTGTAAGAACTAAAAGGAATATGTTATTTGCTATACTGAGATATTGTACGTATCCATCTAGTGGTTTAGTTGCCAGTTAGTCTTCAAAGAAAAAATAAACACACAATTTAGTCCAAAAAAATTGTTAATTTTGGGATACAGACAAATTATTCTTAAGCAACTACAGAATGTCAATGAACTTCCATAGACACAATAAGTTAACACTTATATTTAGTTGGACTTCTACACTAATACCTTTATTTACCATCTTTATTAAAGGATTAATAAAGTTAATCCTTCGTTCCATAGCCCGGGGCTATTATTATTATTATTATTATTATTATTATTATTATTATTATTATTTATTTATTTATTTATTTATTTTTTTGTTGGGATTTTTTGGTCTGATCACTCATCTCTACTGCATGTTAGTCTCTAATTTTATGAAAAGGATCTTACATGTCACCGCGCAATATACCCTATTTTGTTTGATATAACCTTTATAATGTGTTTAACCAATAACTTGATAAGCTTAGATCGTCTCTTTGAACCAACAAATGGAATTAGAAATCATAAAGTCCCAAACTGTTTTCTACACATGAATCAATATCCTGCACCAAGCCTAGTTAATGATAATCTTATTAATGTCAATCCCTTCCATTTTCATATTGATCAAGTATAAGTGATATACCAAGTCTAAATATCTTATTCATAGTTCATATTATCCATCAAAGAGAAACAAAATATCATAAATTATTTCATCTTGCACATCCATCATTAGATTTTTTTTTTTAATGACCGTGGGTATCCGGGTCAGCTTACGTGCACTCCGACTAATCCCACAAGACCCTGAAATTTATAGTCGGGTACTCACATCAATAGCCCTGAGGGGACTCGAACCAACATTCATCATTAGATTGTATCAAAGAACTTGTCAGAAAAGCATATTTATCAAATTTGAAGTTTATGTAACATAAACTCTGTCAAAGAAAACTCTTAAAATGTATATATACCCAGCACAATTTGAAGTGTTGTTATCCTTTAGAGCTTAAATGACTCAAATGAAGTAAATAGAACAAAACATTAGCTTTGAAAGTTAATTAGAGTGAACGAAGTTATTTATCTCACAAAACCATTATAACTAATATCGGCAGCAAGAAACTGCAGTTATGTCCTGACCGAGCACTCACTTGGCCATCCTTCTATGTCGTTCGCCAACTCTTAATTCAGCCAAATAAAGAAATGCCCGAGCAACAGCAAGTGTCGACTCAAGCAACCAAATGGATGCAAAAATCCCATCAGGCAAAGAGGTGAATGCCCTGTCTCCATATCCAATAGTAGTAAACGACATGACTGACAAGTAGAATGAAACCACCAACTTTGACATCACGACAAATTGCATAACAGCAACTCCAATTCTAATACAAAGAACCACAACCCCCAATGCAGATGCCACCTTAATCTGAATCCTCATTCTCTCCTTCGCATCAATTATATAAAATCTAAGGTCGTGTGATCCCCTACCCTTAATAGTCCTCAAAAGATAGTTCTCTTGCATATCAAGCACATAACTAATTATTCCAGAAAAAAAAAATATCAAAAAGACCAAATTCCACAAGCACAAACATGATGGAAAACAACATGGTTGCAGTGCATATCGCCATATCCAATTGTACACGTAGTGGCAATGCAAAAATACAAACTATCAACCACATTACGATTCCAGTGCCCTTAAAATTATCGCAGTTAAAAGAATATATAACCACACCAAGAATCAAGTATATGATCAAGAGGACAAGAACTTTTCTTACAATTGACGTTTTCTGAAACTGGGGTGGCTTCGATACCAATTAATGGTGGAATTCCCTGATGACAGCCATGGCTGGTTCAGTCTTGCACCTGTGGAGATTACTCTTGAGCACTGGATCGTTAGGATCAATCAACCAAGATTGCCGGATTTCCATATCAAGATTGGATTTTTGCTGTTAAAATTTGAATTTTATAGGCTTTAAGGCTTAGGAAAGGTCACACTTAACGTTAACGCATCAAGAAGGGTTGTAGCGATAGAGTCTTTCAAAGGGGAAGATGACGATAAAGGGGACCCAAAAAGAGTCTATCTTTTTAGGTAAAGAGGCAAGAGAGAATGGCGTTGGTGGCGATGGCTGAGGGCTCCAGGGTTGATATAAGGTAGGAGTGGCTCTCTTTCCATCTGTTTTTAACGGAAAGCCAGTTTTGGGTTGGCCGGTATACCGGATGAGGGCGGTGGTGTAAGACAATTTCAATTGTGAATGTTAGTTTTGTGGAGAGACATGCTCTGTTCGATGGATGGAATTGTGTAAGCATGCATTAAGAAAGAGAAATATAGAGGGGACGTTTGCTGTGTAGGAAAAGAGGAAATGGATAAAAAGTTACAACTGTGATATATGCATAATTGGGACTGACAATTAGACATGAGGGTTCATGATGAATAAAAAAAATCGTGATCCCTCTCCTATGATAATATTGTCAACCACAAGAAGAATAATTCAAAAAGTTATATGCTGTCAGATTCTTTAATATCTTAGATGACAAAATGCTTTAAAAAATTGTCAATATCGTAGTTCAATCATTTTTTCTACACATTTAAACTGTCAATCTAAGGGTTAAACTCTGGTAAAACAGAATTATGCTGTGAAAAGTTTAGGGAAAACAAAATGAGGAATTTTTTAAAATGACATCCGTACAAAAAAATTAAAGTAAAAATTGCTTCTGTTTTAATTTTAATTTTTTTAATTTAAAATGCATTGCTTTTTATGTAAGACCTTCTTTCGTAAACTATTTGACACTATAGTCAATTATCGTTTGGCCCCCATTTCATGTAGATGAAAATGGGTGGAATAATATTTTTTTTCAAAAAATAAGTGGTTGGAAAAAAAGGAAAATTTTCGATTTACATGTAATATTATTTTGTGGAAGATTGTGTGATTAAAAATAAGAAAGAAAAAATGAAATATAATGGGATGAAAATTAATGGGGGCCAAACGGGGGCTAATGTCATGTATTTTCTTTCACCATTATCTATATAATAATATGGTTGACAAAGTGGACCGAAAAATTCGGACATTAGTGTCCGGGGGGGGGAGGGGGGATAACCCACAAGCTCGACTTGGGCTAGGGCTCGTGAAAGGTGAGCCGAGCTCGAACTCAGCTTGTTGCTCGAGGCTGAGCTGAGCCCACGAGCTCGTGATTTTTAAATTTTTTTTTAAGTTAATTATTTATTTTTTGGTAAATTTGCACTTTTTTTTGGTAAATTTGCATATTTTTTGACGAGCTCGGCCCATGGGCTTGTCAAAAATGGCCCACGAGCCGCTCGTGGGATATTGAGCCCCCTGCTCAACTCGAGCTCGTCATTTGACAAGCCCGAGGGGCCCACGAGCCAAGTTTTAATGAGACAATGAGTCACTCGACCCGTTTGATATCCCCAGACGGATCCCAGAATAAATTGTCTAATTATTAAAAAAAATCAAAATCTGTTTAAAAATTGAATCCTACTATTGAATCTACTCGTTGACATCCTTACTATGGAGTATAAAATGGTAGAGAAAATTGAACCAATTCCAAGAGGTGGCAAAAAAGCCTGGAAATTCAGCTTAATATCGAAGATCCGTTGATTTTAGAATTTTTTAAAACTTAAAAAGGATGAAACTGCCTTCATAACATGCACTCTAGATCTCTTCATATAAATTCTTCACATGAAGAAAAGACAATCTCTTTTCTCAGTTGTTGCATCTTATTGAAAGTTGAAAGCTAGTCGACAATTTTATTTTGTTTCTCGCGCAAAGGTTCCCCTTTCTGTACAAGTAACTTTATAAAGTATTAATTACTTTCTAGTGTTTAGAATTTTAGGAAAACATGAAGAGAACCTGCTAGTGACTGGTCATCAATCAATTGCTTGTCCTTGATCGCTAATGGCCGACAAAAATGTCCATGCAAATGTTAATTAATTATATGAATTTATCTCCTCACTGAACTTCAGCTTTTAAATAGAGCGACTCAATGTGTATCAATCTTGTCAAACCCACTCGTACCTAATTTGGCTTCCGGTTTACAAACCACATAATTAAGAGATGAATAGAATTTACACTCTCAACCGATCCTCTTCATAGATACCCCACGAGTTTAATCTCAATAAAGCAGATTAAAAAATGCAAGACACAAAAGTGACAAGATCTGTATTTGTTTATAAATTCTCCTGGCGGATGGGTAATACCTGGAGTAGCTGTTTACGATACTATGCAATTTGTGCGACCAGATGTCCATACAAGAGGGGTCTTATTAATAGTAATCTTTGTAATTTGCTTCACATATGACAAGTTGACAACCTGGCTGGATAACTGACACACTTCTAAAAGGAACTTTGAAGGAGTTTTGAGTAATAAAAACATGTAGATGAAATTATAAAGGGCAATTACACCTCTAGTATAAATTACAGAGTACTATACCCTCAAATATGAGGCAGCAGTAGCAGCAAGAACCTGGTATAGACTACTCATTATCAAGAACGCTTGGACGCCTCCTAATCTGAGAAATAACGGAAATACAGTTTATAACATCCTATTGATTGGTATCAAACAAAGGGATGAACGAGAAGTGACTTACTGTTACTTTGGTTTCTTTAGTAGTCTGGGTGTTGAATTGTTCAAGCAATGAAATGAGCCTCTCCTCAGAAACCTATGCATTGAACATATCAGAGAAAAATAATATGACTGGCAATTGACAACCCAAACAGGATATAACGTTTGTAGTGTCATCTTTTGACGGTTAGATCATACTTGCGTGCATAAGACAAAAGTCAACCAATAGAAAAATCAAGCAACAAAGAGCTACCTTCTCAGCAATCTGACCCATTTGAGCAGCTCTCAGTATAACATCCTCAACTCCTCTGGCCTTTTCCGGTTTCACCAGAGCAATCCGTGCAACTGTACACATAAAATACACACAAAATGTGCATGGTATGTAAGAAATGATAATAATAAATTAGACATATATAGTACAAGAAGAGACCACAAATGCCTATGATCCATCCTTGTCTTCTTTAGACACCTACTGTGAGCAACTACCTTAAACCAGCTCTTCAGATCCTTTCCCATCATAAGACACACAAGCGAAGGAAGGGTGTATGCTCTCACAAACAATACACTCAGAAATCAGCTAGCTCTTTCACTCAAGAGGTAGAGACCACTTTTTGATGGTAATGGCACTAAATTCTATGCAGAAATATCCAAACCAATGCAGAACCTAATTCACCATGGTTAACGAGATATGCGCTTTGAATCCGTAATCAAAGCACACAATCTCCTGTACCTAAATATCAATGGCAGACAACTAAAGATGAATGGCAGGATATAAGACCTTGGCCTTCTCCCCTGATTAAATCATATATGTTTATTTATTATTATTTTACATCTAGTAGGAGTTTTAATTCGATTAGGAGTTTTATTAAAAATATATATGTTTTAAGAGTTTGTTTCATTTTAAAAGTCTAATTAGGAGTTTGTCTATGTACCTGATAATACAAAAAATGCCACAAGCAAAATTTAGAGAACTCAAAGTAGTAAAGATTTTAACAAAACATGCATGCTATATTCAATATTCCCATGTAGAATTTAGATATCACTATAGGAAATAAGCCTAGGGACCTAGCAAGGATCCTCGGACAAATTGAAACAAGGTAAATGCTTCAAAGCTGAAAACATATCTCTACAAACAAAATGGAACCACGCAAATCCCTGCCATAATAATTATAATTTCCAACTATTCACTTCATAATTCAACTTACGTCTCGCCCGTGCTTCAGAAGTCAAAATCTGACTCAGCATCATTTGCCTTTGCTCATCTGCCTCCCTAATTCAATCAGTTTGAAAGTTCAAATCAAGAAAATCTTTCTAAGGCAAATGCCAAGATATATCAATCAATAATAAATCATTTGACTTTAAATGATCCCAAAAAATGGATGAGAGATAGATTAACCTCTTCGCTTCATCCTGGCTTTTCTGCTGTTCAGAATCTGGATTTCCCAATATAGTCCAGTTAGAAGAACCACAAAAAGTCAAATCATAGAAAAACAACATACACTCCAGGAGGCAATCATTTACCATGCTATGTTGAGCCATTAGCTCCTGCATTCTTCTTTGCCTGATGGCTTCTAATTCTGGGTCAGCCTAGAAATACAGTAAAAATTAAGAAAAATCATGTAACCATAAATCCAGTAGTGGGCAGATCACCGAATAAAAGCTCCAAATATGTCTGCAATCCAAATTATATTCTCATGCACAAATAGGGAGGACATTATTTTCCTCCCATTATATCCTCTCAAGGAAACTGGGCGCAAAACCGGTTATCAGCCTCTCACACACTTAAAAATGGATATCACCAATTACTAGATACAAGCTCCTTTTCCCCTTTCTTTCATATCTGATTTGATTCTTTTTTTTTTACCAGGAAAGTGGAGATGAAGTGAGGGAGACCTAGTTTATACCTTTTATCATCTTCACATTAAGCCTATGTTTGACAAAATTTATAAATGGTCAAACTTCATTTATAACTACTTATTCCAATGGACCCACAAATACTATCACTTATCCACCACTCATTTTTATTTGATTTATAAATTAAACGGTTTATAATTCTTCCCAAATGGAGGCTAAAATAAGTCATCCAGCAATCAATAAGCAGAAAAAAGAATTTTCATCCCAGTAAGCCTCCGGTAGACAGCTCTTTTTGACACATGCTTGACAATATCAAATACTTGTGAATAGATGCTCTGGCCCTGTATGTATAGACCTGTTCCTCCAACTTTGACTCTAGATTGCTCTCTAGATGTGCATATTAGATGACACCAAGTGGAATTTTGCTTAAGTTTGCTTCAAAATAAATTTGGAGATAACTTAAATGGTATAGAATGAGCTTATATAAAACAAAATAGAAGCTCATTTTTAGAGTTAGCTATCAAGACCAATTCTTGAATCAGCAACTCATTTTGATATATAAATAACCCTCATGAGGGTTATATATAGGCATAATAATTACCAATTCAATTCACACTTCACTCTTGGTTCTAGCCACATTCCAAACCCATCCCTTTCCTCGTGAGTTTGCGTCGAGCAAATAACCCTCAGCCCAAAATTTCAATTTAACATAATTTTATCTTCTAGCCGTCTCTGTGAGGAGAAGGAGCACAAACTAATCTTTCACAAATTTTATGGTTAGATAAACGCGGAGGTAGTTCAATTCCTAAATTCACATTCTTCACAGTAAGCACATAAGAATTTACAAATTCGAATTTTAGAAATAATTGAAAATTTTAGCATCCAGCAAGAAAACGAGTTGTAAATCGTAAAACGCCACAGCAATTCCATTAAAAAAAAAAAAAAAAAAACCCTAAGTAGAACAAACGGATTTAAAACCATAGGGCTTAATTTATACTAAAACAAATTACAAATTCATAGAGATACAAATAGAGCGATTGTTAACTTGCTTACCATTAGTCTGAGCGGAATTGAAGTTGAACGAAGGAACCATTCGAAAGGAATTGCAAGTATATATAGAATTATTAGCTATCGTTTGAATAAAGCGCTTTAAAGTATTTGGAATATTGTCCGGTCCCCCATCCCTGTTTTTCTTTCCAATTCCAGTTACTGTATTACCATTTATTTTTCTTTAATACAAGTCCGGCATCCGATTTCTTAAAAGCGCGTTGTCACCGTGCATGAAAACCTCTCCAAGGTATTACCGCATTTGTAAACAAATAAGAGAAAGATAAGAAATGTAATTCTCTCTCTTTAACTTAGCACTTGTTTGGCATTTCTCATAAGAGACTTGTTATGCGTACACCATGCTTTTTTACAAAATGGTGTATAACTCCCTCATAACAGGAGGGCTCACAATTTGTTTATTCATGATGACCCTCTATGTGAGAGGCTATATACCATGCTACAAAAAGCAATGTTCAGAATATAAAATGAAAATTGCCAATGCAACAATTGTAGGCAGCTTGACAAAAAAAAAAAAAAAACCCCTACAAACGGCTTTCCCTTAACTATGACACCATGTACATTCACATTAGCCCTTATTTGATAAAAATTAAAATCAAATCTTTAGTAAATTTTAATAAAAATGAATGAAACATGTAATTAAAATTTATTGTTGACTTTGTCTTAAATTCAAATATGAACTTTAATACCTGCCAAACCGAGGCTTGGCTAGAACATTATTTCTCAAGCAAATAGTAGTTGAACCAAGATTTAGAAGAAAAAGCGACAAAATCCAATCTTGACTAATGCCAAATTAGTACGTACGTCCCTACGTTACATTTAACTGTTAGTAAATACATAAACACAACCTCAAGGCACAAGGCAGTAGCCACTCAAATCATTTTGAACATCATAAAAACTAAATTATTCATCGTTCAATATGGCACGAAAGGGCCACTTTCACACTCGTTACAAGACCCTGAAAAATTGAGAGGTGGTATGATTAGTAACCGCTTTTTCATATCTGTTGGGATTGCTTAGGTTGTCCTTGAGACCCCCAAGCGAACCATCTCTTGGATTTGGTTGCTGATGATCATGCGAGATCCCAGTCTGAGAATGTTAGAAATTTGGGTAACCAAGAACTCTATAACCTTGTGATGGTTGTTGGCCTTGCCTAAATCCACCAGATTGCTGATTTTGCCCCTGATAATTGTAATACGTGCTGGCTAGAACAGCTGACACTGTTTTGGGATTAGTCCCGTGAAGCCACATGGCCGAGTTCTCGTTCTAAGAGAATGGGGCAAGAAAAAAAATATGCATAAATGAAGAGAGATAACGAAACTTTTACAAAATAACTTCAAGATCAGATGAAGACTACAAAAGACTTAAATGTGTAATTAAGGTTCTCTGGCAACAAAACTTGATTACAGCCAATTAAAAGGATAAAATTGTCTAAACAAACACATGACCTTAAATTTAGTGTGAGCAATGCTTAGTTCTAGAAGATAATGACCACAAGAAATTATCAAAAGCGTGCAAGGTAAAGAATCATATTTAGATGCCATGGAATTGAAAATATACTTGCTGAAGAGAGATCAAATGATTACTATCCTTGTACCGAGAACTCAAAACATCATCATAACTCAAGTTCGTTCCAGAAGGGGCAGTGGGCATATTCATAAGAAAGTTTCCTGGAATCGTGGTAGTACTTCCAAAGCCATCATATCCAGAAGCAACAGCAGCAGACTGAGGCAAACTACTGACAGAAACACTGTTTTTATATTGAGGAAGTATTGCTGCCGAAGATTGATGGTATGTATTGTTGCCAGCGAATTGTTGTTGGAAAGCTGAAGGCATGTATGTAAAACTCTGAGGCAAGAAAGGATAACCAATCATGTTGGCAAATGGACCTAATGGGATAGAAGGCTGAGAATATGGATGTACGGGAAGGTGTTGAGGCAGAGGAGGTCCTGTGGCAACATTTTTTCCAAAGAGGGACTCTGGTGTAGGCTGTGTGGATGGGAAACTAGAAGTCTTCAAAGCCTGCAGGGATACAATACATCATAAGTTTGAGTCTGAGATTAGGTTGTGCACTAAAACATAATCTACCGTCCTTTTAACTTCTAGCCTTTTACTTCAGCATCTCAGTAGCACCATTGTCATGCACACCAACACATTCTCCTATTAGATTCCCAACTTCTCCACTTCCACACCCAATATATATATATATGAATGATCTTCTAAACACTGATGCTTAGCTTATGTTAAGCACCGGTAACATGACACATCATTTAATTGGTAAATAAATTAATGGTAGGTTCCATGTATTTAATGATTCACTAATTAAATGAGGTGTCATGTCACCAATACTTAATATAAGCTAAGTACCGATGCTTAGAAAATCATTTTCGTGTATATATATGGGGGGCCAAAAAACACTATTCACCCCATTATAAATCCAAATAATGGGGGCCAAACGGGAACATATATATATATATATATATACACACATTTTTCATCCCCCCAAAAAGTCGGAAGAGGGTAGGGGTTCTCACTACTGAGTTTTAAAAAATAGATTTTTTTTTTTTTTTTTTTTTACAATTAAAATAAATTTCATCCCCAATATCAGTAAATTCTATCCATTTAATTGACAATTTTCATGTAAAACAAAGTCAAACGAACAGAAAAACACTTTTTTTTTTCAATATTTTCGCGTGAAAAATTATAGCAATCAAACATAATAATTTACAATTCCCAGGAAAATAATTTCTAGGCAATTCAATTTCTTGAAATTCTTTTTTTTTTCCACCCAAATTTCATCTTTACAATTGAAAGAATCAAATTTGCAAGGAAAGAAAATAAATTTTAGGCAATTCAATTGTCTAAAACTTATTTACATGAAAATTATTAATTAAATGTATTTGATTGATTTAGTTTTCAATTTAAAAAATATCATACTTGTTCGATTTTTATTGTTAGGTAGATGAGAGATTATGAATAGATGAGGAAGAGTGAATTTCCTGGAAAATAGAATCCTACCCCCTATAAAGAAAATATTTATCTTGATTTTGAGAAAAATATAGTCATATAATTAAAAGTAGAAAAATATTCAAACAGCACAAAAGTAGTATTTTGGATAAAAATATATTTTTCATGAAAAATTATTGATAATAAAATGCTGTAATTTTTTTACATTATTTCTATAAATTTAAAGCACTCCACTGATCATTTAGTAGACATTGACATGTAATCCACGCTTCGCTCCCAGCGTTTGGTGGTCACTGGACTTTCTTCTTCTTATCCACTTATCCATTGGGATAATTGCACTTTTGACCCCAACTATTATTGAATGTCAATTTAGGATCTCATTTTAATTTTTTCATACATAGGTCCTCAACTTTAAATTTTGTGACGGGTTAGACCTTTTTTTATAGTGGTCATAAATAAGTGCCATTAAAAATTTCAATTTCTTTGTTTTAAAGTAGTTTTTAGGAGCATTGGAAACCAAATAAAATGAAATATAGAAATAGTTAACAAATAAGCAGGGGTGAGCATTTATCGAGATTGATTTCAAAATCTACATGAAAATTAAATGGTTTGGATTCTTGAAATGCCTAGAGAAACCACCCGAGGCTCATCAGGGGAGGTCATTTTTAATCGAACTACTTGTTTCTAATCGGTTCCAAAAATTACATGGAACCGAATGGTTCAATTTGCAATATACCAAAAGTTTGATGAGTAGTCCTGGTTCTTGAAATAACCAGATTGTGAGATTGAACACCATACATCCACTCCTAAAATAAGAGATAAAATAATATAAAAAATGTTAAATGAGAAAAAAAAATCCTTCCCATCGTCTTCTCTTCTTTTTGCAAAAAAAATAATGTCATTACAACCTTTTAGTTTTCTTCATATGATGTTTCATCTCGCTACTCCTTGAGTTACATCCTGCATCTAAGTCCTTCTAGGTTCATCTTCTCTTTCCAGTCATGACCACCATAATGTACTCCAACCTCAATCCAATTCACATGCATGTTTAGTCATTCTAAAACTTGGAGCAAACAAGTAGACTAACAAATCATGGTCTTTTTAGGCAATTTGGACGTTGACAAGCCTTTGTTCGTGATGAAACTGTATACCATCTTTTCACTTTAAAAATACATCTTTATCGTAGGACTGATCCTCAGACTTTTGGGATCTTATGCCAACTTCAAATATGGGATCTATAAATATTTTAAAAATATATATAATAGTAATAAATAATATTTTTTATTGAATAAAAATATTCAAAATTATAAAAATAATAATATAAAACTTTCAAATATCCAAATTTTCATAATAGAAAATCAACAATTATACCATTACAATTGAACTATTTTAGAACCTTTTTAAAATAGACAACATGACCAATCCATTCAACATTTCTTATGACATCGTTAACCAAATCTAGAATTTTATCAACTTCACTTCTAGAAGCTATTCTTGACAAATGCAATTGTAAAGAATATAGTCAATAATATTCTATAAACAATTCACACATTTAAAAAATAACAGTCCATAATTTTAATATATCAAGCACTTCATTCGTCTTTTTGATAGCTTCTAACAAACAATTTCTTAAGTTTACTGCTCAAAAAATAACTCTCGTCTATAATATCAGAATTTCTATTCTACTTCCAAAATTCTTCAGACTTGTCACATTTTTCAGTCTTTAATCTTTTTAGAGTCAAATAAAAATTCAAACATATTTTCATACTTTTTGAAATTGTTCGAACCTTGAGTGAAGAAAGAGCTTGATCAACATATATAAGAAATCACAAACTCTAAAATTCTTCAAGTGAATGTGTTATCTCATCATTGAAATTTTCATCGAAGTGCTTCTTTATATGAATTTATCGGATGCAAATTCAGTTTCTCGATATATTTCAAAAAATAAAATAATTCATTTCAACAACACCAATAGACGTATCCCCACTTTACAAATTTTCACTTACTCTATTAATAATTAATATATATTGTACCATATAATCATGTCAAACAAAAACTCAAAATTTATAATTTCAAAAAAGATAAAACTTTAATATCTCTAAATGACTTAAGATCATTGCATCTTCCTACCAAGTGTTCTACATAATTAAGCTTTAAATACTTGTACAAATAAAGATTGAAATGTTTATATTTTAATTAAAAATTAGTATATTTGTTAATTGGATAGTTGATTGCATTTAGACTTTATTTTGTTTGTAATTTTTATGAACTATATGTAACTTTTTAGAGCTTCATAAAAGTGAGGTCTTAGCGCGATTGTCTACTAAGCCTATTGTTAGGGTCACCATTGCATTGTCTTCAAGTTCCCTTTTATAACAAATAGAACTAACCTTATTGTCCTAATATTCATGCTACCTTCTTTAGAGACCGTGAACACTCCATATGAACATAATTTGATGTGTTTTCACCGTTATGATAATAGTAGGTGTTCTATTGAAATAACACTTCCCTTTACAAATAATTCTGGAAAATTTCTCATGGTATCAGAGCCACAAACTCACAAGCCTGAAACCACGTCTTCTTCATCTTATGTTTTGAAAAAAGAACCACAGTTGAACATCTAGCAATTCCACCAGTGTTCTAGCTTAATTTCGATTAAGCTAAACACATCAAATTTTCTATTATGGCGTTCACAAATTCTTCCATTGGTTCGAAGCTTGGGTATTCTTCATCATCTCACCAATGAAGGAAAACCTGATGAAGAAATCGACGATGAATCGGGAAAGAAAAGTCCAAACCCACAATACCACCTGTGGCTCAATAATGACGGCAGCTTTACCTCTTGGCTTCTAGGCACTATGAAGTAGGATGTATTAAGTCTTATTTTTGAGGCTGAAATAGCATCTGCTTATGAGATTTGGAAATCTCTTCAAACCCAACTACTTCTCATCACGGGGGAGAAAGAAGGGCACCTAAAAAGTATGTTAATGAAGATTAAAAAGGGAACAAGATCTCTAGTTGAATATCTCAGAGATTTTAAGTCCATATGTGACAACCTTGCTACTATCAAAAAGCCAGTTTCTGATCTTAACAAAGTCTTCCAATTCTCACAAAGATTAGGACCAAGGTATGAGATTTTTTCCATTGCAATGCTTGCTAAACCTCCTTATCCTTCATTTGGACAGTTTGTATTAGCTCTGCAAGGACATGAGCAAACATTAAAATCAAAGAATGAGGAGGAGAAAACATTCATTGAAAATACACATGCCTTTTTCGTTCAAAGAGGACGTGGTCAGAACAGTCGTGGAGGACGAAGACTTTTCAATTCAAGAAGAAAAGGTTTTATCCTTGCTGGCCATTACAATGCACAGTTTGGACAAATGAATACTCAAGGAAATGACAATAAAAATTTCAAACAGATGAATACCTACTTCAAACAACAACCAAGAAATGACAGCAATCTTGGACAGCAGCCACCACGATCAAACAACTCTAATGATACTGATAAGGTAATTTGTCGGATATGTGGAAAGGCAAATCACTCTGCAATTGAATGTTGGTATCGCTTTGATTACTCGTACCAGTCTGAAGACATCCCTCAAACATTTGCTGCATTTTCCTTTAATGACTCCAATGATCATTCACTTATAGTAGACTCCGGAGCTATGTCACACATAACAAATGATGCGGGTAAATTGTCATTTATTAAACCATATAATGGGAATGATGTCATCTATGTGGGTAATGGAAACACTTTACCTATTTCTTACACTGGTGATGCATGTGTGGTTACTGATGAAGGAAAACTGATTTTAAAAGATGTGTTAGTGGTCCCTAAATTGAAGAAAATTTTGTTATCTATTCGAAAATTTACTTCAGATAATTTGTGTACTTTTGAATTCACGTCATCTGGCCTTATTGTTATGGACCTAAACTAGCGGACAATCGTGAAGGGCCATAAGAAAGGACATCTTTACTCATTAGAATGAAATAATCAAGAGGCTTTTAGTGCAATAAAGAATGGCAGCTCCAACTCTGTTTTATGGCATGAGCAATTGGGTCATCCAAATCCAAAAATTCTATCTTGATTGAAGGAAAGGAAGATCATTGATGTTACAAATTGGACAACAAAGTCTACAATATGTATTAGTTGCCAATTAGGAAAGAGTTGTAAACTGCCTTTCAGGCGAACAAATAAAATATCTGAGTATGCTCTTGCAAAGATACATTGTGATGTTTGGGGACCAGCTCCCTTGGAGTCCAAGCAATATTTTCAATTTTATGCTATATTTGTTGACAATTTCTCAAGATACAAGTGGATATATCCGTTAAAAAGGAAATCAGAATTCCTTGATCATTTTCTTAAATTCAAAGCATTGGTTGAAAATCAATTTGATCGGAAAATTAAGATTTTCCAATGTGATGGAGGAGGTGATTTTAGCTCTAATGCATTTCTGGATCATATTGCTAACAATGGAATTGAACTACATGTTTCATGTCCAAGAACTCCAGAACAAAATGAAGTCGCAAAATGCAAGTATCGCCATATCGTCGAAACAGCGTTAACGATGTTCTTCCATGTAAATATGCCTTTATCATATTGGGTTGAAGCATTTTTTACTGCCATCTATTTAACAATCGTTTTCCATCTTCAGTGTTATAGAATCAAATCCCTTATCATAGACTTTACAAAAGACGTCCTGATTACAACGGCTTGCGAGTGTTTGGATGTCAATGTTTTCCAAGCTTGCGACATCAAGGTGGTTCAAAGTTCATAAAGAAAACATATCCATGTGTCTTTCTTGGGTACAGTCTAGTCCAGTCCATAAGGACTATCGATGTCTAGAGCCAACAACAAAGTGAGTTTACATTTCATGGCATGTCATCTTTAATAAGGAACATTTTCCTTTTCGGCCTTCTACGGTTACTCTTATTTCTCATTCTTTGGAATTGTCGGAATTTCCATCTTCAGATGAGTGGATTAAAAAGGAAAAAGAAGACAATAGCAAAATTGAAGCAAACGAAGGAGGTTCTTCCCCAAATTTTAACAGACACGTTGCAATAAATGAGGAGCAAAACAATGAAAATGTTGACCGCTACATTACTTTGGATGAGATTCATAAGGTATCTAGTTCAACAGATGAAAACATCAAAGATGCAAGACCAAATCATGCAAACACAAATAATGATGAAGTTCCCTCATCAATGCAAGATGTTCAAGAAATCTCTTCTCCAAACAATTCAGATTTGAGGCCTTCTCGTCCTACAAGAGATCGACATCCACCAGCCTACCTTGATGACTATGTTGCACTTGCCTCTATCTTAGCTGAACCAAAAACGTTGAAGTCAGCCATCAAAGATTCTAGGTGGACAGAAGCAATGCAAGAGGAAATTAAAGCCCTCCATGACAACCATACATGGGTTTTGGTCCCAAGACCATCTGATGTTAATGTTGTGGGCTCAATATGGTTTTTCGAATCAAGTACAAAGAGAATGGATCAGTTGATCGCTTTAAAGCTCGATTATTGGCCAAGGGCTTTACTCAAGTCTTAGGGATTGATTATGATGAAACATTTAGCCCGGTATTTAAACCAACTACTATTCGGCTTGTCATCGCCCTATCTATCTATTCTAATTGGAGTATACATCAGCTTGATGTCAAGAATGCATTCTTGCATGGGCATCTTAAAGAAATCGTCTATATGGAGCAACCACCAGGATTCATTGACAATTCACATCCTAATCATGTTTGTTTGTTGAAAAAATCTTTATATGGTTTAAAGCAAAGTCCACGAGCTTGGTTCGATCGCTTGTCGCAGTTTCTTCTTCGTCTTGGATTTTCATGTAGCAAGGCAGACTCATCATTATTTGTGTATCATTTAAACACTATCGCAATGCTTCTCCTCATTTATGTAGACGATATTCTTGTGGCAGGGAATAATGATGATTTCATCACAAAGCTCATTGATCAACTTGGTAATGAGTTTGCTATTAAAGAACTTGGGACATTAAGTTACTTCCTTGTAGTAGAGATCAAATCTTTTCCCGGTGGATTATTTCTTACTCAACAAAAATACATTCACAACCTCCTTCAACGAACTCAAATGCTTCAAAGTACTTAGTGTTGGAAAAAAATGGTTTAATGGATCAACTTTGAGCCCAAATTTCAGTGGGACCCACCTTTTAAATAATACGGGACCTAGCATATTCACGTTCTACTCCGCGAGATGATTAACGTGATATATTTATTTATCGAAAACCATTTAAAATTGAATGAAATATTAAGTGTTAAAGTAACCCACATAAACTAAGGATTATGGAAGAATTTGATTTACCAAACACTTATCCCACATAGGAAAGTTAGGAAACTTTGGTGTGGTTTATAAGGTGAGTTTGGAATTGGGTTTGGGCCCCAAGGGGTACCAATAGTCTTTGGAAGGGGAAGACCTATATCCTATTGGGTTCGGTCATAAACCCACACGCGTGCGCCGCCGTCCGTCCGACTGGCCGGCTCGGCTCGGCACGACACGAGCACGTGCCCGAGTCCGGTTCGGTTCGGTGCGGGTCCGGGTCGACCTTTACACTATATTAACTTTTTGGACAAAATTTATTTAAAATTTTGGACCAAATTGTAAATAATCAAATTCTTGGGTACAAAATGAAATTTAAATTTTGGCTTATTCCGGGTGTTTTATTTTCTTTTTAACAGTCGACTGTTTCGACAGAAAATTTAAATTTACACCATTTTCATTGCAAACTTTCTGTGTTTTGAATCTCATTTCCCTCTCTCTCGTTCTGATATTGTCTCGAAGTCAAAAAAAACTTCGTTGAGTTCGTTGGAACTCCTACAGACTGCAGTGCTGCTTCCGTAGAAGACGAAAAATTCGTTCTATCCTGGGAAACGATTGCTGGACGCCTGTAGCACCATTGAAGGCAGCAAATTCGTTTTAAGGACACATCGTGAAGTCGGTGGGCTCGAATTACAATTTCGGATCCTGTTGATCAATTCTTGCATTCAGGTAATTCTGTCGGATTGTTTTCGAAGGAGTGAATTCAAACTCTAGAAGCAACAATCTTAAAACGAATTTGTGTTTTTTCAAATATTATTTGTTTCTGTTTCTACTCCTTCTTATCGTTGATCTTCTGATTGCATTCAAAAATGGCAACTTCTGGTACCACACTCCCGAATACGACCGGGGAAAAACCAGAAAAGTTTAATGGGTCAGATTTCAAGCGTTGGCAACAAAAAATGCTTTTTTATCTGACGACATTAAATCTGGCTAAATTTCTCAAAGAAAACGCGCCTTCATATACCGAGCAAGACAGTGATGCTGAAAAATTGGCTGCGGTTGATGCATGGAAGCATTCTGATTTTCTGTGCAGAAATTATGTACTCAATGGATTGGACAA